AAGACATTTTTATTGAAAATTATATATATATATATGCTTGCTATGGGTGAGATAAGTCGGGAGGATGGAATAACAGAGGTGAACTGAGCTGAGTTTAATATGAGGTCTTATCTTTTTGAACAGGGAAAGGTCAAGGATGAGAATCATACTGAAGTTTGTTGTAGCTATCAGGAATTTTTAAAACTTTTTTAAAAATTGAAGCTGATATAGACAGGGGTACTACATGGTATCTGAAACCCTAGAATATTGATTGCTGGAGAAAATTTTCTATTGTATCAATAACTTAAAAAGGATAAAATTTTTAGCTTTCTTATAGATTTTTATAAAATATTCTTTTAGGTGGATAAAACAAAATATCTGAGGACATCCCCAAGGAGCCCCAGTAGGTCTATTTTGTACCTTCTATAACTTCGTAATCACAATTAGAAAGTTCAGGATAAAAATTCTTTTATAACAATAATTAATTAACTTTTTTGACCCAAATCCCCAAGAGTTATTCTCCTCTAAATCTCTAAGGCAAATAAGCTCATGAAAAAAACATAGTTCATCCTCTTAGGAAAAAAAGTTCATACAAGGAAAAAAAGCTTTACTGTACATAGAAAAGGAAGGGGTCACTTTAAAAGTAATTCAAATCACCATTAATCTGGTGATGCAGATAAGACCACTTAGCGAAAGCTTCAAAGGAAAGACTAATATTCTAGGAACTATGAAGATGAAAAGAAACACCAGAAGCTGCACTGAGTTTCCTTCATGGGCCCTCGCTTATGAGGTGCTGTAAGAAGGGCTCTGTGTCTGCCTCATGTACACGAGTTAGTTGTATGAAACTGCATATAAAAAAACAAAAACAAAAAAACCAGTTACTAAATATTTAAAATGATTGGGAATTAACCGAAGAGACAAAATATAGCAAAAAATTTCTGAGAATTACAAATCAGTTCAGAGAAGACATACTCTAATTTGGAGAAGACTGACTCATTCCTGAAACCTATTAAAGTCACTTCCCACAACTACTACGTTCTCTATCTGCAAAAACAAAAACAAAAAAAACAGATTCTAGAATTTACGTTACGCTGAACTGATGGGGATGTTCTAGGGCAAGGGGGATATCTAGATCATAGAGGTGTTTGAGGGCTGTTATGATGAAAAATGTCAGTATTTCGTTTGTAAGGTAAGTACATGACTGGGGATTTGGAAGTTACAGTTTTCCAGTCAAGATAAGAGTGTTTCACTCAGCTAGTGCTAAAAGAAGATAGTGCTTTTCCAAACACTGAAGTCATCCAAGCAAGAGCTGGATGGGTATGTGGTGAGGATGCTCAACAGTACGACTTTCATTGGGGTTAGTTCAATGACCTAGTAAGATTTATTTTATTTTTAAAAGATATTTCTATTAGCTAGAAATAGGAATAGAATTGGCAAAAACTCAAAGTACAAAGCTTAGAATTAATTCGTGCACACATATAACCAAAGTTTGAGTCTCTTACTATGTCTGCATGTACAAAACATGTTGGGAGAATTTTACGTCATCTGTATAATCCGTGAAATGTAAGTATACTTTTTGATAAATGTTTTATATATTAATGTAACACTGTGTTAAGTTTATTTTGTGTGTGTGTGTAGTCTCTCTGACCTGTCAATATTCTTAGTGGAGTCAGATGCCAATCTGGGGGGGGGGGGGCATTTTAGATTCAGTACACATCAAAAAATATTCCTGTTACAAATTACACTTTTCACAATTTGTTATTTATTCAGATAAGAAATAAATGGCTCTAACTATTCATTTCTTTAAGTCTATCTCAATCCTTTCTGAATGGAACCATATTTTTTAAGGAAAAAATCTGTTAGATATTGTCACACCTTTTTTAATTTAAACCTCTTGGCAGCTCATTTTGAATGTTATAATTATCTTCATTTATTAAATAAAGAAGCTATGACTCAGTTGAAGTATTGAATCTAATATGACAATGCTAAAAGTGATAAAATCTAGGACTGGAACCCAGTTTTCCTGTCTCAAGTAAATCTAATTAGTATTTTAATTTTAAAATGTGAGCTATCATTGCCTGTTGAAAAACCTCACGGAAATAATAATTTTTAAAAGTACACAAAACTGCCCTGGCCAGTTTGGCTCAGCGGTTAGAGCGTCGGTCTGCGGTCCAGAGAGACACGGGTTTGGTTCCCCCTAAGGGCACGTACTTCGGTTGCAGTTTGTCCCCGGCCCTGGTTGGTCGTGCGGGTGGCAGCCACTCGATGTGTCCCTTCACATCGATGTTTCTCTCTCTCTCCCTTCCTCTCTCTCCCTCCCACTCTATCTGTACAAAAAAAAAAAAAAAAAAATGGAAAAATATCCTCGGGTGAGGATAAAAAAAAAAAAAAAAAAGATTAAAGTACACAAAACAGACAGCAGAATGCCTCAGACAGAAAGTTCAGGAGATTTCATGTGCCATTGTATTGGTGTATGCACTCATGATGAGCCATTTCTGCGCTGTGATTTAGTAATCATTTAAGAGCCTGTTTACTAGGGAATTTGTTTAAAAAAAAACATTAGAAACTTTGAGGTGGAAAAGGGAGGTGAAAAGTCACCAGTAGCAGTTAAATGGACCTTATAAATGTGTAGCCTCACACTGTAATTTTTCAGACAGGGAAACTGAAGTCCGGAACATAAGAGGAGGCTTTTAAAAGAGCAGAAATTTAATCTTGTTGAGGCATCAGCTCTCCGGTCTTCAGTGTGAGGTAGAAGTATTGCCTCAGGAAAAAACATGACAAAGGTCTGTAAGTGATTGTCATCATCAACTGCTCTAGTAAGGTGAAATCTAATGTTAGAAGACCGAGTTTTTCTTCAGTTTTGATATTATGACATAAATAACGAGAACAAACACTCTATTGGAAAATAAGAGTATTCTAAGGAATTAATAAGACAACTGCATAAAGATTTATATGCAAGAATATATTTGATCATTATCTATACAAGCAAGGAATGTTGATTATTTAAATTACAAACACTAAGCAACTGGATAATATATCATGGTCCCATCCCCAGAACCATCCCATGACCTTAAAAATGACGGCGTGAAGGAGACACTGGGAGGTGTCGGGTGTGCCCATTGCCCTGACTGTAGTGTCCAAGCTCATCAAATTGTACATAGTAAACATGTGCACTTCTTTGCACATCAATTGTACCTTGAAACACCTATTTAAAAAAAAGTGATTGTATAATTTTGTAGTAATTGATATAGAAAGATGATGTTTCTTTATTGTAAAAATAAAGAAAAGAAAAATAAGAAAAGTTACAAAGTAATGTTAGCATGATTTATTTTAGATATACAGGGTGGAACAAAGGTAGGTTTACAGTTGTATGTGAAACAGAATTTATTCTTGTATATTTATTAATTATTGTATTATTTTCCACACAAACAACTGTAGGCCTACTTTTGCTCCACCTTGTGTGTGTGTGTCTGTGTGTGTGTTTGTGTGTACATATATATATATATAAATACACACACACACACATATATATATAATTTGAACTTTGAAACAGCCTGGAAATATATACAACAAAAGGTTGTCACTATATCTCTAACAGGTTTAATTACAGATTATAATTTTTGTTTTTTGCATTTGCATTTTCTAATTCTTTGCACTGGGAAATGTATTTTTGTGATGAGATTAAAGTATGAATGAAAAATAGAATAGGAGGACAAAGGTTCTCATCTTGGAAGGACAGTAAGAAGGGAGGCAGAAGAGGGGAAATGAGTCACAGCTGTGACTCATTTATTAAGAAGGAGAAATGTGAAATCTAGAGAAAGTAGTGAGGCAGCAATTAAAGAATGAGTAGTTTTAACCTGAGATGGAAAAACCTGTGCAAAAGAACCACTTCTGCCCTGGCCGGTTTGGCTCAGCGGTTAGAGCATCCACCTGCGGTCCGGAGAGACCCGGGTTCGGTTCCCGCTAAGGGCATGTACCTCGGTTGTAGTTTGTCCCCGGCCCTGGTTGGTCGCGCGGGTGGCAGCCACTCGATGTGTCCCTTTCACATCGATGTTTCCCTCTCTCTCTCTTCCTCTCTCTCCCTCCCACTCTGTCTGTACAAAAAATGGAAAAATGTCCTCGGATGAGGATAAAAAAAAAAAAAAAAAAAAGAACCACTTCTCCATCACTGGACTAAGTAACAAACTACATGATCTTGATGTACTTTTATCATTTTAATTGATCGAGTAAATGAAGTAAGCTGCACTTCTTGCTACCTTCCTGTGGGTACTGTGCACCTCTCTGATTTTATCATATTGTGTAATGTATATGACATATTTATTATGTCATAGAACTTACGGGAATTAGGTTCGGGACCCAGGACATGATCTAATAAAAAGATACCCATTCTTTAATTTTGATGTGTCTTCTAAAGTGATTCGTAGGAACCATTAGCCACTGTTCCTTTCAAACATCCCTGGTTTGTTCCCATAGGTCTGTGTCTGCTAGGAAAATACTTTTTAAAAATGAGAGACTCTGGAGATCACCAAATATCGGCAAAAAGAAATCAGCCTTTATCTCTCACTCATGGTAAAACTCTACAGTAAACTGTCAAAGTGGAAAAAAAAAATGCGTTATAGAAAATGCTAGAAATTATTTAAAAGAATTTCCTTCTTGGTGACTATAAACTTCAGAAAAATAGAAAGTTCTAGACAAATTAGGAGGCAGTACATAAGACAATTTTTAGCTGGGAAGATAAAGATGGAAAAGTTGAAAAGGAGAAATTTCATTAAATGGGAAGGAAACAGAGTTTTTTGCTTTTGATTTTTAAATCCAGTCTTATCCTTCATTTTAGAAGAGTCATGTCTAAAGTACTGTGATTTTCCTAAGTCTGCACAAAATGACTTTCAGACTGATGACTATATTCCATGAATCATCTCCCAATAAAAGACACTTTCCACAGCACATGTTCTACAGGTATTTATAAAACAACCTTCTAGACTGACCGTTCCTTCCTTGTTTCCTTAGAGACCCTGTCCATCATGGGAAACTGGAGCGCCGTGTCTGAGTTCACCCTGACTTCCTTCCCGGCTCTCCGGGAGCTTCAGATACTCCTCTTCGTGATTCTCTTGCTCACGTACACAGTCACAGCAACGGGAAACATTATCATCATCGCCTTAATATGGACTGACAATCGCCTGCAAACCCCAATGTACTTTTTTCTCAGTAATTTGTCCTTTCTGGATATTTTATACACCACTGTTGTTACCCCAAAGCTGTTAGCCTGCCTCCTCGGAGAGAAGAAGACCATATCTTTTGCTGGCTGCATCACTCAAACATACTTCTTTTTTTTCCTGGGGACAGTAGAGTTTATCCTTCTGGCAGTGATGTCCTTTGACCGCTATGTGGCCATCTGTCACCCTCTGCGCTACACCATCATCATGAACAGCAAGACCTGCCTCCTGCAGGTACTGAGCTGCTGGGTGGGAGCCTTCTGGTCTGTGCTGGTACCAACCATTGTAGTGACAAGGCTACCTTACTGTAGCAAAGAGATTAATCACTTTTTCTGTGATATTGCCCCTCTCCTACAAGTGGCTTGCATAGATACTCACCTCATCGAGAAAATAGACTTCCTTCTATCCGCCCTTGTCATTCTGAGCTCCCTGGCCTTCACTGCTGGATCCTACGCCTACATCATTTCTACCATCCTACACATCCCCTCTGCCCAAGGCCGCCAGAAAGCCTTTTCTACCTGCGCTTCTCACATCACTGTTGTCTCCATCGCCTACGGGAGCAACATCTTTGTGTATGTGAGGCCCAAACAGAACTATTCACTGCATTTTGACAAGGTAGCTGCTGTCCTCATTACAGTAGTGACCCCTCTTCTGAATCCTTTTATTTATAGCTTGAGAAATGAAAAGGTGAAACAGGTATTGAGAGAGGCAACAAATAAAAACATTTTCTTGATACTCAGGAAAACGTGACATTAGCATTTAGTATATCACACAGCATCCCTCATGTTCCACACTCATTCCGCACGAACAGACTGCCATGGTGGTGCCTCAGAAACCGGAGACTGTGCCCTGGCCGGTTTGGCTCAGCAGTTAGAGCGTCTGCCTGTAGACCGGAGAGACCCAGGTTCAGTTCCCACTAAGGGCACGAACCTCGGTTGCGGTTTGTCCCTGGCCTCAGTTGGGGTCTGTCCCTGGCCCCGGTTGGGGTTGTGTGGGTGGCAACCACTCGATGTGTCTCTCTCACATTGATGTTTTTCTCTCTCTCTCTGCCGCCCTCTCTCCCTCCTGCTGCATCTGAGGATAAATGCAAAAATGTCCTTGGGTGACATTTTTATAAAAAATAAAAATAAATAAAAACCTGAGACTGTGCTAACAGGATGAGCCATGACCATACCAAACTGAAAGACAGTTCTGCCTATGTCTGGAAGAAATCTAATCCAAGAACTATCTTAAAAACTTGTGCCATGATACATCACCTACCTGCAATTTAGAGAGTCACACATCTGGTCTTAGCGACATCAGTTTATTTTCCAGTTGACTTTGACCATACCACAATTTATGTGTCTCAATGTCTCCACCTCTAAATGAAAAAGTAGATAACAAGGGATCGCCATTTGTAATGAGACATGTAAAATTAAAGAATTTTAACTTTTTTTTTTATCCTCACATGAGGACATTTTTTGAAATTTTGTTCAGATAGAGTGGGAGGGAGAGAGAGAGAAACATCGACATGAAAGGGACACATCGAGTGGTTGCCACCCACACGACCCAACCAGGGCCGGGGACAAATTGCAACCGAGGTACGAGCCCTTAGCAGGAACCGAACCCGGGACTCTCTGGACCGCAGGCCAATGCTCTAACCGTTGAGCCAAACCAGCCAGGGCAAGGATTTTAACTTTTTGTTAGACATGTCTGAATATTGCAAGAGATCCGTTTTTCACATCTATTAGCCAGACTGAGGAAATGTGGGGTGAGGAGTGCGGGAAGCAGAGGACAGACTCAGATGACGTCAAGCCTCTGGCTATAAACCCGAGCAAAGGGTATAAAGATTCAATGAGAAAAGCAACAGAAGAAGGGCAGGTTAGTGCGGACTTTACTGAATTGGAAGTTCCTGTGGAACATTCAATTACAAGTATTGAGTTGGATTATACTTGAAGTTTAGAAAGAAGATATGAGCTAGAAATATAGTTCAAATATCTAATATAGTAATGATAATTAAAGTCATAGAAGTGGCTGAGATCACAGGAGGATAACAAAGAGGAAACCCCACAATTAGACTAAGCATGGTAACCAAAGGAAAAGAAAAAATAGGAGAGTATGATATCATGAAATGGGATGAAAGACAGGTGTGGGGGATGTTTCAAGTAACATGATAAGGAAGTAAAAGTATCTGTTGTATTTGGTAGCAGTGGTCAATGAATGAATTTGGTAAAATGTTTAATAGAATTTGGGGGGGGGTAAAAGTCAAAATAAAGTAGAATAGTGTATAGATATAAAGAAATAAAAAAATACATCAATGTTTCTCTCTCTCTCCCTCCCTCTTTCCCTCCCATTCTATCTGAAGATAAATGGAAAAATATTCTCAGGTTAGGATTAAGAAAAAGAAGAAGAAATGAAAAATATAAACACTTTCAAGAAGGTTAGCTAAGAATAAAAGCAGCACTGTAATATGAAAAAAGCAACAGAAGAAGGGCAGGTTAGTGGTGGACTTTATTGAATTGGAAGTTCATTTGAATTGGAAGTTCATCCTGAGATGGTCAAAGGTTAAATATCAAGAGCATTAGTAGGAGGATAGTTGTTGGCATTGGTTTTCACTACATACTGATAAGTAGAGATGGATGAATCCAGAAGTAAAACCATGTCAGGAAAATAACAAGATGAAAATTGTCACCATCCCTTTTGATGTAGGGCCCGAAGTGAATCTTAAGAAGAGACTTAGCACCTGACTTCAGATAGAAAATAACCAAAGAAGAGTATAAACATAACTAACAATGTCTGCGTAGTAAAGCAAATGAACTAAGTCTGTCTTTGAGTAATATAATGTGCTAATGTACACAGTCAAAGGAAATTAACCCAATATGGCTTGTGTGCCTACAGTGTGCCAATAAACAGAACAGACAAAACTACGCTTCCAGTGGATTTAAATTATAGTAGCAGGAGAAATGCAAATAAAATTCAGAGATTATATGAAAAGTCATGCAGTGACAAACGTCATAGAGAAAAGTAAAGCAGGGAAGGGAAAGGGGAGCTTGGAGGATGAAGTTTCCATTTCACATGAGGTGGTTCAGAAAGCCTTCACAGAGACGGCAGCCTTTCAGTGAAGATCCGAAGGAGAGAGAGGGTGAGCCATGTGGAGAAGATTATATGAAACTAGAACCAAGGCCCCAAGTGCGATAAGAGTGAGGGAAGCAAGGCCCGGAACTAGCAAGCAGCACCGAGAGCAGGATCCCCCAAGAACCTCGCTGCTGGTCCCAAGACCACACAAGCACCGAGAAGGGAACTGAGGTCATCTGCACACCGCGCTAGAGCTGAACAGCAAAGCTGCGAGACCATACCAGGTTGCTAGGGAACTGATTATCAAACACAACCACATATAAGCAGTAAGTAGTGATTACATGTAAGAAAATTTATTCTTAAGTAAAACCATATATGATTAACCCATAGTGTTATTTTGATCTGTTTTGATGCCTTTCATAACAAGTTAGAAGTTAAAGGCTTATTTATATATATATTTTCTTTATTGATTTTAAAGAAAGAAAGGGAGAGGGAGGAAGAGATAGAAACATCAATGAGTGAGAACATCAATGGGCTGCCTCCTGCATGTCCCCCACCTGGGCTTGTGCCCTGACCGGAAATCGAACCGGCGACCTCTTGCTGCATGGGTCAATACTGAACCACTGAGCCACACCAGCCAGGCTATACAGATATATATTTTAAAGAAACATCTGAAATAGAGACAAACCAAATGACTGTTGCTTAGTGATTCTCAAAATCTGGTTCCCAAACCAGCAGCATTAGTATCAAGAGAAAACATGCCAGAAATGTAAATTCCCAGGCCAACTGTATCTGAAACACCAGAAGAAGCCCAGCTCCCTGTGTTTAACAAGCTTTCCAGAGGACACTGAAGCAAACCAGCAATGGAGAGCGGGGGCGTCAGGAGAGCCAGGCAGGCCACCAGTCCTACGACGTGCAGCGCTGCTACGGCTCAGGACCTCGCCTTCATATCTGATTTTTTAAAAACATACAACACACAGTGTTATTAATATTATAATTATCATTCTTATCATAGGTACTTAATTATATATGTAAATTTATTGGTATCAAATGATTGAATTAGTTACAAAAAACTTGATTTGTTCCCGTCTACAGAGAAGTACTTTGCCAGAGTTCTAGACATGGCTGCTAAGGGCTTTGCTTCTTATGAGCCTTGGGCACCTGGCAATGAAATAGGAGGACTTTCTAAACGAAGGGGACCCAGCAGTTGTACTGACACCCAGATTTGTGGGCCTTTTCCTAGTCACCTGAATCATCTGGGGCCTAAATTTGTTTAACTATGTAGTCTAATCACCATTGTGCACAAGGTGGTCATTCTTCCTCAGATCTCACTCTCCAGTCGGGTGATGTTTTGATGAAAGATATGGTGAGTCCATTTATCAAGTCAGCACAGCACAGGCTCTGACTTCACGTCTTCATTCTTCACTACCAATATGATCCTACGCCAGCTACTTAATCTCTCTGTACCTCAGTTTCTTTATCTATAACACAAATTTCAGAATAATTTCTATACTATCGGGTCCAGAAGATAAAATTGAAAACACTTTTATCGGTGTAGTACTGAATACATACATATTAGCTATCTTTTTAGGACCCCGTGTGAAATTCTGTAGGAGGTGCTGAAAATACAAAGACAAGCAGGATAGTACCTCTAACCCTAAGTAATTTATATTTTAATTTAAGAGAACATGATACAGGAGAAAATACTATGAATGATACATTCTAAAAATAAAGAAATTAATACTTCCAATTTAAGCCTTGATGAAGTAACCAGGATTTTATTAGCCATTTGACTTGAGCAACTAGAAAATGGCAAAAGTACGTGAAGCAACAATTTTCAGACACTGGACAACAGGCAGTGCGTGGCTGTGCTTAGTGAGGACAGGAAACAAAGTGGGCTCTGCAGCTGACTGGGTGGCAGCTGAAGGCTGTGTCCAGGCTGTGACACAGAGCAAGTGCATTCCAACAGGGGCTGTCAAGTGTCTGCGCTGTGCAGAGATCAAACTTCAGGGAAGCCAGGTGACCTGCATTTGCAATACAGAGAATCCGACATGAGAAGACTGCATTAAAAGAAAACCTTGGAAATATGCAGAGGGATCCCCTGAGGCTTTCATTGAATATAGATCTGAGCATACATGAAAAAGAGATTACTTGAAGTTTCTCATAGGAAACCATTAAGCCAAATAATTCCCAGTGACCACATAGGGATGAAAACAGGTTTTGTTCCTACCAGCCAGAGTAGAAACAACTTTTAATATGTGGCGCATTAGAGTAATGATGATAAAATATCCCTAGAGAGAAAGCCACCCCAGCTTTTAGTTAAAAGGTTGGGATTTTTTGGACTTTTATTTTATTTATTTATTTTAATATATTTTTATTGTTGACAGTATTACAGATGTCCCCCATTTCTCTTCCATTTCACCCCAAACCCCAGCCACCAGCCCCCACCCCCCACTTTCTGCAGGCCTTCACCACACCATTGTCTGTGCCCATGGGTTATGCATATAAGTATTTGAGTTCTTTGGTTTATCTCTTTGAATCCACCCCCCCACCCCAAGATATGTCAGTCTGTTCTGTGTCTCCATCAGGACTTATTTTGTTGGTCAATTCATTCTGTTCATTAGATTCCACAAATGAGTAAGGTCATGTGATATTTGTCTTTCTCTGATTGGCTTATTTCTCTTAGCATAATAGTC